TCAATATGAGATAAAACTTTTTAGACCTGAATTTTATATGTAAAAAAAATATTTAAAAAATATACGACATATTTTAACCAGTAATTACGGCTTTTCGCGTCATATGCGCGACAAGTGTACTCGCGCGTACTCGTTCCTGTAATAGCACGCTATCGCGGAAAATAAACGCTCACGTCCGCGCCAGACAGGCGTTTCCTTCTTCGCGGTCGAAACCTTCAAACGAGCGTCGGGGACCTTCCAGCAGCGAACCTTCTCGTCATAACTAACTTTCGTTCGTTGAAGATTGCACATGATTCCTCTTCACCACCGTGCGTAAATTCTCTCACGTATATCGTCTTCGGCGAGTTGCAAGCAATAAACAGAACAATGCAGCCGCGGAGCGGCTCGCGCGCGCGGGAGCCTCTCTCTCTCCGTTCCATTTAATTCTTTCGCTCCGCTAAAGCTGTTATAATATCCCAATTAAAGCACGGTTAAAGCGATTCATATATTTATCTGTTATTCAGCACAAACTGTTATATACCAATTCAGCGAAAACGTTCAATTAAAAATTTTGCCCATGCTTAAAAGATGTTATCTGCTCCTGACTTCTTTTTTCTTACGAAATAATTATTGATATTATAACAGGTGCACATGAGTTAAAATCATGCAACAAAGAAAATGCGAGAACTATAACGTCATGTGCTGTTTCTTTGTTGTTCAAAAATAACGAACGAAACATAATTTTATGTATATTTTAAGTTCTTGATGTGTAACGCGGTCATATTTTATTTTCTTGTGAAATTTTAGATTTTTCTATATGGATGCACAAATAGGTAAATATTAGCGAAATCAACGCATAAATTTACTTTCTGGTTTCGCTGTCTCTATTGTGATGTCGCGTACACTACGCGATAAAAACAGTGATAAACGCGTCGAACTTTCTATACGCACGACGGCGGCTTCCGGGGCGTTTCCCGATGATGAGTAGAAAATCTTGACGAGAGGCGCAATGGGGCGTGCATTGGAAGGATGCGCATTTTATTTTTGCTTCCGGCTGAAAGTCCATTCCGACGCTTGCACTTTTCATTTCTTCATCGACAGATCCCGAGTATGTTAAGTCAACGAAAGAAGATCCCTCCCCCCCCCTCTCGTAAAAGCAGGAAAAGCGAATTCCTTCAACGCGCACCGCAAAACCTTCCGCTCCGCGGAAAGATGAGATTCTGCGACTGATCGCTCTTATCTTCAGCCATAAATCACCCGCTCTCACTGCCAGTTAGGATTTTGCGCTAATTATATAGAAAGTCTGAAAACGCGAGCGGCAGATGCATTATTAATTTCTTTAACGATACTAATTGCGGCGATATTGTTGCGGGTGTGTATTATTTCTCTCTCTCTCTCTCTCTCTCTCTCTCTCTCTCTCTCTCTCTCTCTCTCTCTCTCTCTCTTCATATTTGGAAGTTAGTTTCGTATGTAAAATGAAATGGGGAATCCTCGTGCTAGTGCGAGACTGCAACATGCCGCGGATTAAGTATTTTATAGACTGCAAGTGCATCAAGCGTCTATTTCAATAATGATGATTTCTACAGCAAGCGAGTGAAACTTTTCCCGCTGACGCACGAAATCCACCGCGCACTCACGATTTTGCGGATGAAGATATGACTCGTTTCCGTTTTGATTATGTTGATACAAGACAAAGAACAATCGCAAAAACCATATATATATATACATATTAATACTCAACGCGACTCGAGGTCTCAAGGTCTCTTGTACGAAGCCTAACGAGTCGTATGGTGGCTGCAGCACGTCCAAAGCACGTCGGAATGTATGTAAGTAGGAGTTGGAAATGTTCCTTACGTAGCGCTATATCAAGTAACGTGAGACTTTGCATTCTACGCTGGTCTCGACCGTCGCGGTACGACGGTAACGTAATATTCCATATCGAGACGCAGAAAAATTTCACAACGGCACTTCTACGTGACGCGAACGGTTTCGAGCATAATCACTGTGCGCGCAATTATTATACGTGTACTTTCACTCGCAGTTTACACGGCCGGCTCTCAATTGCACGTCGATACTTCGGGAGTTTGCCAACGTTTCTTCGCAATTTCCCAAAGAAGAGATCTTAGAGAGGCGAGACCGAGCAAGTTGCTGGCTCGTTTTTCTTTCTGCCACGCGCTTCGGATCAGCTAAAATACTGGCACCCACAATAATTAAGAGAATAAGAAAGATCTTATAATATGCATGTGTAACATAAAATGCAAATCGCGGGGTGTTGCAGTAAAATCCCAACGAGCCGGGATGCGCGTAAATATTTGCTGGCGGATAAATTAAATTGAACGCGTACGCATTCTGCTTAAGTTTTGCACACAGAATCATTCTTGTATTGACAGGAACTATCTCACAAACTGTAGAAATGACTAATTATGAGTTGATAAATAAGAGAGAGATAGTTGTTGTAGTTGCCTGGCTATCGCTAAAACAAAAATCCGCTGACAGAGAAAGCATGCTGAACGCTATTCCGCGTCTATCATGGAATTATTCTTTGCGGAAACGTGATTAATTTAAATAGCATGTAAACATGCATAAATGAGTAACCGCAGATTGATAAATGACGGACTACAATCTTGAATGAGGACTCGAGCGAGTCCACCACATATACAACATATACGCACGTGGAAATCCGCCGGAGAATGAGTCAAGCTGAGGTTTATGCGTTCTGCGTTTATCGTGTAAAGTAACTTTTTATGCACTACTGTGCAAATAGAATGGATTGACCGTTTCTCTGTTTTGTTCTGTGAGCTGTGTATGTTTGAGCTGTAGAAAAAAAACTCTATACCGGAGAGATGAAGAGTATTCGCTGTACAGAGAGGCGCATTGAGTGATTTTTTTTTTCTTTTAATTCTCTCGAGGCACGTACAATGCGACTTTTTTTCCTCTAAATTTTAACAACTCGTTTCAGGGACATCGTACGCATTACACATTTTCGTGATATGCACTTACGCCGCAAGTAAGCCTAACCGATAGGACTGAGACGCTATGAATAGAGCTATTATTATTAGGTAATAATGACTTGGTTCACCATTGTGCAAGCTATGCTTAAAGAGAATTCAAGCGTAATTGTTCGGAAGGAGAATGAGTAAGGCGTGCATAGAGTCATCGTGAATGACAGTAGGATAAATTCCGATTCATAACACAAATCTGGGCTGTCTCGATCTTTTATTCATATAGTTTCGAGTCACTTCTCAACCGCAGGTAAAGAGTAAAAAAAATTTTCGATTCGCCGATAGAAATGACCTCCGTAAAGGAAACGTTATGAAAGGAAAATTATAAATATAATGTATCGTTAATACGCGGTTCTTTTTTGTCCTTCATGTGAAGAAACCTGAGGGGGGACTTTGGTCGCACGTGACGTATCGTAAGAGACAATGACGCGGTAGCAGCGCAAAACGTGGCATTAAACGCAAGAGCGATTTAAGGATTTATTCGTGCGTAAATCCAGGCGCACGTGCGCACCGAGTATCGCGTGCGCGCGCGCGCGAACGCGCGGTTTGTTCGAAAGTAGAAGCTATAAGTTTTATCACATGGCGTTACATTAACCGGGCACTTTATCACAACAGGGCGGACAGTACGTAATAGTGCACCGCGGAAAAATGCGCTTGCGAAAGTCGAGCTCGGGAAGTCGGAGCTCGAAGTGAAATCTGATCAGGGCTTAAAAAATCAGATTTAGATTAATTGTTAATTCATGCAAGAGACCAGAGTCTTGGGAACGCAAATGTTCTGCCAGTTACTTGTTTACATGGCAAAGAAATTCTGTGTAGGCAAAAAATAAAAGAAATAATTCTGTCTTACTAAGATTCGATTTCCCAATGCAAATTAAAAAAGCCGTTATTAAACGCAGACTTCCAAGAACGATCGATGATTGAAATTAAGATGCGGCGATCAAAGATCCCTTTGATGCTTTTCTTTATTGCCTATTTGCATATTCATATGAAATCTAACGTAGATTATTCCGATGACGGTTATCATGTATTCGCGCGTACAGTTTACTGTACATCAGTCAATAAAAGTTTCTCTCATGCAGTTAACTGTACCTCGATGAAAAACGCGTGTGTTAAATCACCAAGTGTGATATTAGACATCTTATCAAAATAATCTCACGAGTGCGATAATGGATATATATATTTCTAGTTTTTATAAAATATTTTTATAAAACTGGACAAACATAAACGACAAGTTTTCAATTTATAGATTTTTAATTCGTTTTCTTGTAATATAAATTTTAACTATTCTTACATAAATTATTTTTATTGCTGTCTCTTCAGTTTTTGGCGGTTTATATAAAGCTATAAAATGTGTTTCCTGAAAGTCTCTTATCTTGATGTTGATTTTTTAGTCCCAAGTACACAAATGACTCAGGTATATATGTATTTTCGATCTTCATACATACAAGTACATATGTTATGTCATTTCCTACTGTGTAAAATAGAAAATATTTAGAATTCATATTAATTCATCAGCAAATTTTCCTTGTTCACATTTTCTTTTTTGTTGCCTTGGCGTTGTACCCACAATTAGAATAATTTTGAATAAGAATTATTACCGGTAAGTATAAGTATTTCGATGGAATTCCGTCAGTTTACGATTCCTACACGCGTCATGGGCGTGCTTATCTCATATTTGTTCTGAATCGCACCGGCGCGGCGTGCGTCTACTCAACGGAAAATACAAAAAGGAAAAGAAGTGATACACGTTTCCCGTCCCTTTCGAAAGATTTGCCTCGAATCTACTTTCTGAACACGATCCGGAATGTCGTGTTTCTCACTTACAGTTACCAATATATACAACGCAGTAAAGCGAATTAATTACACACACGATTTAAAGACGCGATCTTAGATACGAAGCGGATCTTCTGCAGGAACGCCGGATCCGACTCGCTCCGGCTCCGAATTCCTCATATACGAATCTTACAGGACCCTCTTGTTACTGTTTTCTTTTCTAATTGATAAGATAAACAATCTTACTTTTTTCTCCTCAGACTCTCAGAGAGTCAGCCGGCATGTAGCGCATTCCGCTTCGATAGCAGAATAATCCCGCTGATGAAAGACGACGGCGAGAGCCCCTCCCGGTTCAAGTTCTCTCGTCACCAAGTTAAAACACCGCACAGAATAGGATGAGGAGATTAAAAAAAGAAAAAAAAGTGAAAAAGAAAAGAAGAGAAGAAGCGAGACGCCCACGCGATCGCGCCGCGCAGCCGAGAGCGACTCGCCGACTGCGACTGAGTGACTGACTGACCGACTCCTCTGGCCGCTCCGGTCGGCGTGATACCGTCACCGCACTTGCATCGGCATACGTATACCATGCGCCTGGCAGCCGAGCGCTCCCCGCCCGTGCCTCGGCAGGCCTTTCGTTTCCAGTTCCATTCCAAAGGCCCGACCCAACGTGGCCCCAACGTGCCTTTTGTTGCATCTCCGTCCGCTCCGCCGCGCCGCTCCGCGCCGTACGGCCGCTCTTCCGACCGGTTCAACGCGCGTTATCGCTCCCGGCGTCGCTTTGGACCGCTCTACATACGAGGCGGAGATCTACCGAATGCAATTAGCCCGTAGAACCGATCGCGTCGACTTAAAGCCTAGTTAAGCAAGTTTTCTTTATCCGTTAATTTAAAAAAAAATGACAACCAGTTGCAAAAACTGCGTCAATGCAATCGTATCTTAATTACATTTAATCCGTGTAATTAGCCGTACGAAACTATTAATGCCCATTGGAGATTCCTTATCTATATCACAGTCGTCAAACTGAAAACTTTTATCATACAGTTTCATTTCTATACATTTGGTTCAGTTTGTTTTTAAGCAATAAATAATTACCTTCACCTCAATACTACTTGTTTGTAAGGAAAGAATATTGCAATTTCATTTTACTCTCTTGAAATACTCCCCGTCCAGTACATTCAAAATAGGTGTAATCGTGAGCTGACAGATTAAGGGTTAAATATCGAATATACACACCACAAGTTACAGTCTAACGAGATTATAATTTATGATGATGGTGCTATTCAGTATGGAACGTCCAAAAACCGGTACTTTGTAACTATAGTGCAGTACGGCTTCAAGCCGAAACGTGAAACCTCGATAACAACCTTGCTGTATAATCGATTCTGGCGCATCGAGTTGCATCGAAGCACCTCGACCGTAGGCAGTTTGTGAGTTCCATGGTGCAAGTTTCCTTAAAAATATAAATATGTTAACAAAACGGCAAAACGCGATAATTATAAAATTCGCCACCATAATTGTTTTTGCTTATGTAAATTCTTGCGAGCGCACAAAATACAATTCTTATGTCTACGTATGTATGAAACGCGCGCGAGTGTGCAGAATGTACAGCAATACTTCTGACCTAATATTTTAAATTTTATTAAATTGAAAAAAAATATATATATAGATTTGTTTAGAGAAAAATTTGGAAATATATGTCTACGCGCTATTTTAGAACCAAGTTAATCAAAATATAAATTATAGAAATTCTGGACTATTCGATTAAATGTAAAACAAATATAAGCGTATGGTCAATATTCTTTCCACATTTTTCATACTCCAGTTAAATTGGAACACGCTCCACATATTCGCAGCTCAAGGCCGTGTATCTCATGAATCCATATTGTAGGCAACCCGATATGCTTCTTTACAAAAGAGTTGCCATCTCCCTCGTCAAACTCTTATGTTATTTAATAAAACTTGATTTAATATTAAGAATCGAATTATAAAATTAATTTATATTTATATTTCTATCTTAATTTATAGAAATGCTAATTTTGTGTATTTCAAAAATTGTGTTTCGAAAAAATTAAACTAATACAAATTCAGAAAGGATAATAATCAAGAATTTGATTCCTTGTGTTCCAGTTAAATATCTTGTTAAACAATAACATATTTAATTTATTATTATAATATAAATATATAAATTAAGTATATCTTCTAATGTAAAATAATTTTTAAACAATTACATCTTATATAACTGTAACCTATAAATATATTCAACATAATGAGAAATATGTATTTATAATATTATTTTCACAAAGTTAATACAGTATAAAATTAAGTTGCATAATGCTGTGTTAAAATTTATGAAATACGTGCAGGCGTATGTATTTCATAAGTTTATACATGTTATAAACATAGGTATAAAAAATAAATACATATTTATGCGTTTTATATATTTTAAAAAATTTATTATATATATGTATATATTATTAGTATAAATAAATTACTTATATACTAAATGCGCAGGTACTGCTTAATCTCCAAATGTAAAAAAGTGAGGCTCACTCACTTCATTTACATTCTATAACATAACAATATTTCTAATTCTATCATATATATTTGGTTCATTATTATCGCTTATATGAAGGAAAGAAGTTTTCTGCAAAATATCGGATCCAACGTCCTGCTGCGGTGCATTTACATTATAATTGCCTTCACTTTCGTCGCTGATACTTAAATTGTTCAGCTTATGCATTACATCGGGTCTGTTATGCACGGAATCTTCAGAAATGTTTTCTTGTATGGGACTTCTATAATTACGATCATAAATGGACACCACCGACATGCTTCTTACGTAATCTATGTCCACTTGCGGGTCTGCCATAATTTTCAGAGTATCGAAGTTTATTGGAGCCTCCAAAATAGCGTGCATTTTGTCTCTTTCCCATTTCCAGCGTACATATTTCTTAACTTCGCCAGCCAATAGGATCATTTTTCTTTTTCTCGAAAGACGCTTGATTTTTATAATTGGTTTCGGTATCCTCTTCACTTTCCCCATTTTTTTTTATACGTTGTACCAAAGAATTATCAATTAATCAGTTGTTACGTTATCGCTTTACAATAATACTTTCGCTCTGATATATTTTAATTCATTAAAATGGATAATATCCTGGAAACAGCAAATAATGGAAACAGTAAATAATGCCTTTAATAGCAAACTAACATTACGTTTAATTACTATAACAATAACTGTAACTGTATTTCAAATAAAAAATGTTTAATTGTGTCTTTATTTTAATAGTTTAATTATCAGATTCTGATTTAAAATTTAAGTGGAATATTAATCTCAAGATAAAACACCAAGTTTGCATGTGTGCAAAGTTTACTACTTCGACATAAAAAAAAAACAAATAAAATAGCAATTTTATTTTACTATTACTTTTTTAGATTAAAATATGCGAATGACTGTGATAACATCTCGTCAGTTCAAAATGTCGTGCAATTACGACTATTGCAATAAATTCTATAATACTATAATATAGTATACTATATAGTATACTACGTACTATACTGTACTGTACTATACTATACTATACTGCAGTGTAAAACTTGAATTATTGTCCTGCTATCGCCACCTAGTGACTGAAAGTATCATGTGCAAAGTAGACACCATCAGTACACAATATCACATACATACCCATTAAAAAGCGTCTGTTCTTGATGATACTCAATTCAGGATATCGAATATCGTGATCTTCTTTTGATATCCAATAGTCTATTAATATTTAAACACATGCGTAATATTTTTCTTGGATTAATGTCATTAATAATACTACGAAGCACAAAATTGCGCAGCACCTCTTATAATCTACTGCAGTCACTGTGGCTGACTACTAACTGATGAAAGTAGCGTATTCTGCCATCTAGTTACACTTTGTTAACCTTGTGCCAACCGAGAACTTGCTTATTTTATTTCTGCAGTATCGACATTGTAACATATAGTTATAGAATAACTTAAAAATATTCGTTGTTTAATATAAATCTCACAAACATTGAATATTTGATATTACTTATTCTGAATAAAATGATATATAATCAAATAAATTTTTATAGAGAAAAAAATGTAAAAATAAATTAATATTTAATTAATATTTATAAACAAAATTATATTAAAATATAATCAAATTTATCGGATACTTCTGATAATTAAAAATATTTGCAAATACTTTTTTTTAACGATGGATTTCTCTTTTATAAGATTTTGGTTTATATTTTCGCTGAATAATTATGTTAATAAATTTAAAAAAAGTATTCATAAATATGTATGTATTATCATTATTCATATCTATCCGCAAATGGAATTCACAACTTCCTTCATTTTACTTAATATTATTTTAGAATTTCAAGATGAGTTGTCATATACAGTTATATTACTTGCCTCTTATTTTAAGATTAAAAGCAGCTTTCAAAATTTGCATAATTACGTCAACAAAAAATGATTAGCGAAAGAATAAAGAATGGCCTTTAGATTATGAAAGATATATGATTCTTCCCTGTGACTCTTATTTAAAGCAGCAAGAAATATAAGAAATATCAAAGTTCAGTGTATCTCTTAATCTTAAAGCAATAGGATATTGGCTGGCAGACATTAAAAAAAATAAAATGTTGTACGTCATTATATCATATATCGTAAAGAAACTTTATAAAAATCGATAACCAAATAAAGTTTAGATTCGTTATGATAATTTGGTTGATTTAATTATTATGGAAAGAAGCAAACGTGACAGTCTTAAAACGGTTTCAGTTATGTAGAACTTGAGATGCAAACTTTATAACCACAATGTAACTTGAGTATTCATTTTGATGACCGCAATTATAGTCGGTTTCGCTTCCCAACAACGTGAAAGTTTAACAGACGTCTAACAGACGTCCTAATCTTACAAATCTTCCTTTGCAGGCTCCTCAGATGTTCTGTAGATTTTCTTTAGTCGTTCTAACATTTTTTATAAGTTAAATATTTTTTATTTAGTAATATTTTAAAAAGAAAGTAAATCTAAAAATACAGATCAAAATTATCATAATTTTTGTGAGTTCAAATTTAGAAACATACAAGGATGATTTTTATTTTTATTTGTGCCAATGAAAATATAACTATAATTAATGGAAAGTATATCGCCTCAACAACATATCAACTCATCAAAAATTGAACTCACTGAAGTTTAAAAGAAACTTCACCCTTCAAAAACGCAACACACCAGTTTATGATAATTTTTCAGACAGTTCTTCAATTATCCAAATGAATAATCTGTAAAGTGTATTTTTGGAGTTTTTATAAGTACCTATATACTTCTCGATTAATCTCGATACATACGATATCATCTTCAATATATCTTCAATAATATTCCAGTAATAAAAATCGTTACGTTATGACAATGTCAATATTAGACTAACGGCAAAGTGCTTTTTAAGAATAACTCATTTGTAAAATTGGTTTATATATTGCGGTAGATTAATCCCTCTGAAAAAACGTTGAATAAGGCACACAGCCGCGGGTAGCGCTTCCGCGCTTCGGCATCGGGCGGAAAGAATCTGCGCACGTGCACCGGGCACGACCGACCTGACCTGACTGAAGCAAAGGGATGATCAATAACTTCCAGGATATATAAGGCTCCGTTCCGGTAGAGCGTGTGCACCTCTTGAGTTCACGTGATCGGTTTATCGTGCACCACGGACCCCTAGTCCCTCGATCGCGTTATCGGCGTCTGCGTTTCAAATTGGTCTGTACGTCAGATAGCATCGGAGAGGTATTACGTCCATTGGGTATAAGTTCGTAGCGTATATAAGATACGCCGATATTATATGGAGTCATAGTAATGTGAGGTCATAGTAATGTAAGGTTTTCCAGTTGTTCCGCTATAAACGATCCCGGCAGCGTAAAAATCGAACGTGCACGAGGCGTGATGTACGACGGTATGTCTATCGGAGTGAGCGTTTTCGGTAACAGAAGAGTGTTTCGATATGTAAATAAAAAGAAATACATACACGTAGATTCCTCGACAAAATTACGTTTCGACGGATCGTTAACGTCGAAAGACGTGTGCACACACGATTTCCGCCGACATGGCATTATATATATATATTTTGTTTTTTGTGAAAAGTACGGTAAATATGACTAATCCTCTTTTCTCCTGTCACGATACAAGTTCAACTTTTCTTCTAAACGCGTGCTTATACAATTAAAAGATTAAGAGCTTACAAGTTCGTGAAGTTCGTTTTCTTCGTAAATATAACATAAAATATCCATGTCTTGTAAAATCACGAAATACTTTTATTCGATTACGTTAAAGAATTTTGTAAGTAGATATATGAAGATATTTTCGACAACAATCAGTAAGATCCATCGTATAATTATCTAGTGATTGAAATTTCGACACGTTCGACAGTCTAATACCACATGAGAGCAACTGCTGCTCAATTTTTCACAAAGAAGACACGCGTCTGCCGATATCGTTTACGAGCGGTTAACTTACATAAGCGACATAAGAGAAATATGTCAGAAATATACCTATGAATTTTCTTACGAGGCCTTTGCTTACATCCACGAATAATCGTATACATGACAATAGAATCATACTTCAACAGTATAGTACGCCATATAATTGTTCTGTTTCCGTAATTTATATTATTTTTCCACACGTTTCCCTGAAAACCGTGTGGCATGGTGTAGGCCTCCTGGGGATTCCCGCCATGTAAAAAAACGGGAACGCGTTCGGGCACGGTACCCCCTGGGTGACGAGGAAAGCCGTGCTACTTTGTGTTTCTGTTAATTACCGGGAATTCATTCATAAGCAAATCGGCGCTTTATTCTTTCCCAAGTTCGCAATTTCTCAGCCAACTTATGCGCGGCGAGTGCTATACGAGAAAGTTAGCGCGACAAGCGCGCAACGCGACGGTGATTTTAAGTAGCGCCGATTAATTTATCGCGGACGAACTTTACGCTTTTAGCCTCGAGCCATTGTTTCGTAATACTTTTCCGGGGAATACCAGGCGGAGTGGAGCGTTCTACTAATTTTTGGGCGCGGCTGCTACGCGCGCTAATCGTCTGTAAATAAACTCCAAACAACCGTTCCGCGAAATAATTACGTCCCGAGTGCACTCGCGTTTACGTTATCATAATTTCCGATCTTCGTAAGTTAATGCACATAATTAGTTCCCTCCTATTTTTTTTTATCTTAATTAAAGTCATATCCACGCTTCATCGTCTCGCCGCTGTGCGCAACTGGTAGATGCACAAACAGTGTACGTAACGGCACGCCGTAAATCGAGTTTCGCCCAACTCTGTTATACGACAGAAAATCTCACTTTAATGAGTGAAACCTGTATCTATTAAGGCCTAACGCCCATATCGTCCCAGAGTCCGTCTGTTACCACAGTAAAACGTTGACCGAACGATTAAATTCATCGTGGAAAGCGTTATTAACACGATATTGTACACGCGGTACACGGGTATTGCGATGTACGTGCCATTGTTCATCGAAGAAATCGCAATCGAAAATCGCGGAGGCGGCGGCCGTTGCGGCGACGTGTGACGACACGGCGGCAGCGCGTTTACGAAAAAAAACAGTAGCATCTCCTTTGCACCTACTTACCTACTTTTACCGTCCTTTGCAGCAGTCGCGTCTTTCGGTCTTGTTCGAAAACGCGTCTAATGCGTGCCCTTTGCCCGTCCCACTTCCACAGATCTCTAAAATGTGCGTGATCATCGTTCCATTTCGTTAGCCTGTTTCCGCCGCTAATAATCTCCCGCCTGCTACTCACGATGATTATGTAGAAGAAGCTGCTCGAGCGGCGCGGCCTCGAGTGAAAATGACAACAGTCCTCCTCGCCCGAGAGGAAGGTGCACGAAAAGGACGGGACGAAACTCGACCTGATCTTATATCGGTCGGGGAAATATACGACGAGGCGAATAGAGTTATAGGATCGTGAAGCGGCACGTTTGCAGAGACTTCTTCGAACGCGCGTTACACCCTGACGCATACGTGCACTTTGTAGCAAATTAATACGACATGATTCTTGTAATTTAGCATGCGATTTGTGATCTCATCAATATACGCTAATATATCTCGTTTACACAAGTTGCTTTTGCAACGTTTCGCGAAGCTGCGAGAGATGCCACAAAACGCGAGATCTATTATTAGCAGGCGCATAGTACGAGTACTAATAGACGCATATACGGCACTATTTCCTTCGGCATGACAAGAGAGCGACGCAATATAAACACCCACGTAACAAGATGTATTAACCTACTCAGACAGTACATTACATATTACCAATCGATCCTCGAGTAAAGTGTATACTCCGGAGCTGTCTCGTTATTCATGCCGTCTATGAATGCTGTAGTCACCATCTCTAAGTGCTACCGTATTCACGACGACTTTCAGCTAATAATCAACATCATCCGATTGCTTCTATAAATTTCTTAACTGCTTATTCAAAAGCGTAAATTTTCTCGATGAGCGTCGCGAAATAGGGATCGTTTTTGCGACCGAATCTGGGTTTGTTGGACGAATCGGCGCGTGTCAGAAACAATTTATGTCAGAGGCTTAGATTTTGCCGGGTTATTTCTATTATCCGCGTGAAATTGTGCGGTTTCTATTAAATTGAGAAAGCCAAACAAGGCATTCGTTTCTCACCACAATATTAGAGAAGTTGTCACATCGTGCAATCACGTTAATAAAGTTGATTTTCCGAAAAAGATGGATAGAGAGAAAGAGAGAGAGAGAATTTAGTCATCGATTTATTGATAATTTCAATTACTAAAACAGATTAATCTCGATATGTCTGTTATACCGATACGCTTCCGCTTCAGTCTCTTATAAATAAATCAAAAAACGAG